ACTGACCGAAACCGAAAGTGACCGTTCGGTCGATGGCCTCAAACAACTAAACTTCGGTGGCCACCGAAAAAAATCTTGCCGTTTCCAACCCTACTCACAGCATTTGCGATGTGATATATATTTAAGAATGGTTATAATATTATATAAAAAGAGTGCCGTTTTTTTTAAAAATATAATATCATAACCATTCTCAAAACTTGTCTAAAGTATTACAGCTCTGATTTCAGCATAACATTCGGTTTACTTTCATTCACATAATCATTTGCTGACTGAAGTTATTGCTTATTTAAATCCTCCAGGCGCATTTAAGAATAAACGTTCACCGATGGTTATGACCCACGAATGCGTTAGTTGTTTCAGTGAATAAATTGCAAATGTGACGCAAAAAAAATCTGAAAACAAACCGTAAACAAGAAGGGATATTATCAAATCAAGATCGGGATCCGGTTCACTATTTGAAACATAAACTGGTGAAAACAACGACTCTGCAAATCCCGACCCCATCAATACTTCAATCAATTGTCGTTTCGCATCCCTGAAAAGAGATATGTAAAACGCTCATTTCGCGAGTTGAATATGACTAATACGATGGTGATTACAAAATAAAAATAACCAAAACAACAATCATAATAATACAAATAATAAAAACCAGTAACAATGATAAAATCAGCACGGTAATAGCAGTGATGGACTGAAAACAAAACGAATGAAACTAATTCAATTCAACGAAATGCAGAAAGCAGAACTAACGCAGTCATATTGAGAACAGCACTATTAACTGAGAATCGATCGATGAAATTGCGTTCAACATTCGGACCTCTTGAAACAACAGTTTTCCATTGATTGAATAAACATATCAAAGCGACATGATCCGAGAATCGATTCCCAGAAAACGACCGCTGTTGACGTGTTAACTTCGACGACATTCTGTCACGAGATACGAACGGTGTGTTGAATGAGGTCGCTGCTGCTAACGTTGACATCGTATCACCAACACTAAAATACCAACATCATTACGAATTTTGTTTTATTTTTGTCGCTTTTAGTACCATTTTTATCGTTACTTTCAGCAAACTGAAACAATACATAACTGCATTAATACATCAAGTAATTATTAGCACATGAATGATGCAATATCGAATGACAAAGGAACAGCACTAAATTTACACAGAGTTAGATTACAAAACATGACCACGTTCAACTTACCCAAATGCAGTTGCTAGAATGAGAGTTTTGCCGACGATGGGATCAATCGGTAGACGTGCAATAATACGTCCCAGTTCAGTTAATTCACTATTTGAGTCTAACGCTGACATCTCTGAAATTTGGTACGGTACTTTTAATCGTTAAATAATTT